TTCCCTTTTCTTTATTTCATTTTGAATAAATGCTCCTGATTATATTAAGAATTTACAAATGTAAGAATTTTTTTTGTATTATGCATTTTAACAAATTAACAATGTAGACCTGAACATCATGACCATTACAAATTAGATTAAATTGACTGTACACTATATTTTTACGTTTTTTTGGATGTTTGCTTTTAGTGATTTTTTTCATTATTTTCACCCCAAAATTTCATTCAAATTTGTCTGCAACTGATATTAAGCACAATAGGATTTTTCTTTTAAGGTAAATTGTTCAGAAAGCATTCTTCAACTGAGTAATTATATGTTTCAGAAAGCTTCAAGCACAGCAATCTTCAATAACCGGTTTAAAATTTCAGTACATGTAAAGAGTTGACAAACCAAGCTGCAGAGTGATATAAATTATAAAGCCCTGCCTAATTCATGTAGTGGAGCAAATCATTTTACCTTTGAATGTAGTAACCTATCCTCCATGAGTCTGGATGTCCATAGATCAAGTAGATTGTTAAATAACGAAAAATGTATACAATATATAAAAGAGACTTTATACTAGTAATTTGAGATCCACTGTCAATTATGTTAATATTAATACAAATGATCTTATATGCCAAGTATTATATTAATTACTATGTCTTTGGAAAGTCAAAGGATTTCTGATATTTCAACTGATATATTTCATTTAATATCCAATGCCAATATCAAATTTCTCTTAGCATTCTGAGATTTTGAAACATAAGAAAAATACCCCAAAAATGTTAGCTATATGGACATGATTTGAAGTAGAGCTTGTATTCATTAGGATTTTTTGAATGAAACAAAATGGCTGCAACTTTTGAAAGCTATATCATATTGCTAACCTTGAACTCACAGCAATTTTTTTTCTTTGAAATATTGAATAATAAAACAGTCGAATATCACATTTTTTCATGATGAGGCTGTGAATATATATATTGGTTAAGTTAAAACTTTGATATTAAAAAAAATTCAAATTATAATATATAATAATGAGATAATTATGTATAATAAGTCTAATAATTTTGTATAATGATGTATAATAATGTTTTGACATTTTGTATATTAAACATAACATAGTGTATAATATATCAATAATGAACATAAATAAGGTAATTAAAGAGATGATTTTGAATACAAGTTTTGAATACATATTTTTTGTAAATAAAATAAATTGTGTACAGTATATGAATTTTCTTGAATTGAAAATTGTATTTCATTTTGGCTTAAAGCTGGCCTGCAGTTTTGCTACTGAGCGTAGAATATTGTACTTGTTTTAAAGGGACAGATTCGTTATTTTCAGGGGTTGATTTGGGTCTTGATTAAATGTACATATTACTTATAAGTACTAGAAATGTACATATTTCGTTTAATTCCTTCAAAAATATCTCAAACTAGGAATTTCTATTTCTATACATGTCTTTTGATATATGGCAGAGTCTTCAGAAAAGTCGAGCCGGACACACATGGCTTTGAAGGCTCAATTTACGAAGGTGAGCTAGCTGTAAACACTAAAAAATCCCCATTTCTGAGATTAAGATACGATTTGTCAAAAGAATGGCAAACCTGTCCCTTTAAACATTGTAATTGTTATAGCAATGAAATAAATATATACGTCTAGAACTATAAGATTTTCTAGATAATGATGATGATGATGATGATGATGATGATGATGATTATAGCATAATGAAATACAAAGATTATAACAATAAATTTCAATATTATACAAAATCCAGTCTCTGTACTATGTCTATGTTAACTTTGACAAGCATCAAGGCTACCTATCTGTGGCAACTATCTGTAGGTTACAAATGACATTTCGACTCGAAATATATATTAAGTATTTAGGAAATACTAAGGCCTACCATGTAGAGTTTGTGGCAATTTTCATTTTCATTTCAAATTCTATTTGCTACACACAATAAATATTTTAAATTTTTTTTTTAATTTTTATTTCTTTTTACATACTAAAGCAATGGCTTATTCTTATATTCAATCCAACAAAAGCATAGCTCAAGTTGCTATATAGTGCCAAAATAAAACCCATGGTCCTAAATTACTAGACCGTCTGCTTGTCCTAGTTACCAGATATAGCATAGAGACTGGTCAATCAAGTCTATACACAATAAGATTACATAAATAACAATTGCTTACATGATTATGTTGCACCATTGATGAACTATTTGCATGAAGTACTATTTACCATTACATTTCAACTACAATGCAGACATTTATGCGTAACCAAAGGAACCAATTATGCCAAATATTCAACTGAAATATTGTTTTTCATTAAAAGCTTCACACACTTTTGGCATGTATGGCATACTCACGCAAAAAGCCTGTGAATGATTGAGTGTAGATGTGAAATGATAATAACAAATTTAAATAGAAAATATAAAAATATGAAGATATACTTAAGAATGATATCTTGAAATGATGAAGAAAACCTAAAAACACAGCAAACAGGATATTGCACAGTACTAAGAAATAAGAAATAAGAAATACAAAAGGGCAACAATAGGGGGAAATTCTAAAGCTTTTTTTTTTTGAAGTAGATAATATTATATATCTATCTTCTTCTATCTTGTAAGATTTCAGATTCAAATTAAATTTAAGTTACCTGACTCAATATTTTGCATCAAACATCTTAACGGTTTTATAATCGTTTATAATATTTGATTTATCATCTGACAGACCTCAATTTCAACCATACATATCACTTTTCAATTTAAATTCAAATCTGGTATTTAGTTCCTTGCGATTAAACAACCAAGTACTGTATTCAAACAAATACATGTATCTGTTTAAAAGAAATTTCTTTTCCCTCTGTCTATTGACCAAAATTGTGATAGTGTTGCAAATTTCCACTTAAAGATGTCCACCAGAACATTTCTAATTCTCAGCAAACCTGACATCAGTGTTTCATTTTTAAAAGTGATACAGATTGCTGTAATTGAGCTCTAAAACTTTAACTCTTTAAAGTTTCAGTTTCTTCATGAAATGGTCTACGGACACTGAAGAAAGTTTAACCTTCCACAGTAACTTTTTATTATATCACAGCAGAACTGGATGCCAGATTTTCATTATGAAAAGTTCTGTAGAAAGCTCAAATTCAGCTCTGGTAAGGCTTATATTTAGACGACAATATACCATTATCAATAGGAAGGAAAAGTAACAAAAGATAGTACTAAATCTAAAATCAAAATTTCACACAAAAAAAAAAAAAAAAAAAAAACTAGCTCATTCCTACAAAATACAACATAAGAGAAAATGACTAACAAAGCAAAGACAATTACTAGCTATTGTCTGAGCAAAGAAAAAAGTTTTTTCAATTTTTTCCTTTATTTTCAGGAAAATTATAATGGCAGCCTCAAAATATTACTGTTAGTCTTAGATAGTCTTTGCCTAGATAAAAACATAAGCACAAAATTTGTACTTACAAAAAATTTTTTTTATCCATGCAAAAGACTAACAGTACTATTTTGAGGCTGATATTCCAATTCTCTTAAAAAATATACAAAAAATTCAAAAAGCCCTTTTGCTTTGCTCAGACAAAAGAGTTGTCACAACCAAGAGCTGGACATTGACCTCTGTATGTTTATCCAGGTGGCATAAGTGGCATTAGGAGTGGTACAACATTCACTTTCAGGATCTAACACTTTCATTCCTTAATTTACAGAATCATGCATCAACGCAGCACTTATACTTAGCACAATTCAATTTTTAGACCATCTTAGATAAAATGAAAGTAAAATTTCTGCCGATGAAAATAGCAACTTGATCCACAAATGTGAAAATAGCAATAGTTTATTTCTTTAACAAAGCTATCTAACAAATAATGATATTACATCAAGTTTAATAATACCTGACCTAGATCTTCCAGTTTGATTTTTCAGAAAAATTTTCAAAATCCCATAATTTTACAGCAAATATTATCTAGCCTATATGCTTGATGAATATTGTTTTTAAACTTGGTGCATATCAGATCATCAACATAATTAAACCAAGCATTTGACACATGTTCCGAAATGCAAAATTAGGCAATATTCACACATACGAAGGTAACAGCTATTATATTGAGAGAAAAACAGATGAGGTACATGTTTGAATTCAATAAGTGATGTCACTCATACAAAGGTAATGGTAATAATAAATAATATAGTAATGAAGAGTAATTGCATAATAAACCATTGGAATTATTTGACTATATATATTTCATGCAACTCCCCATTTATTCTGCTCTTATAAATATGCCTTTCATTGAAGTTTACAACAACATACTACTTATCCAAATATCACTTTTGAAGTTGTCAGTCTTTGCCTTGATCTTGAGCCATACTCGAAAAAAAGCATGATTTTGCATTAACCCTTTACAGTTCAAAATTGTAAAAGCTTTATGAATGATGGAGTAGGAATTTTAGCTAATCCATGCTATGTTTGGTGAAAGCTGCCTTGGTCAAGGGTCAGAACATTCATCATAACTGGCTTAAACCATGTTCAAAAAACTGATATAACCATGTTCAAATTACTGGTTTAAACCATGTTTGAATTATTGGCTTAAACCATGTCTGAATAATCGGAATTAACCATGTTCAAATAACTGGCTTAAATCATGTTCAAATAAGGATTTTAAACCATGTTCAACAACTTGGCTTTAACCATGTTCAACAACTTGGCTTTAACCATGTTCAACAATTTTTACTTAAACCATGTTCAACAATTGGGCTTAAACCATGTTCAAATAACTGGCTTAAACCATTTTCAAATACTGCATCAACTTCAAAAGAGACAATTTGTGTTTGATATTTGTCAACCGTGTACAATTACAGAACAGTACATGTATACATAGATATACATATTATATTGTGTTCATAACATTAAATAGTATCCTTATTATGTTAGCAAAATGATATTAATCTAACAGATTTCAAAATGTACTCTAATCAATAAATGAAATGGTGTTCTTTTCTTTTGGGCTATGGAAGATAATCAATGCCATGCAGTGTGCAATAAGGGAAGGACTAAATTAAATGTCCAACTATAAAATGTTTTTAGATTGTAGAACCTAAAAGTGCTCTTAACAAGTACAACAGCACAGTGGCATTAAGAGTTCTAGAAGAGTATCCATGATCTGGCTCTTCAGAGACAAACTGAAGGGGTTGTAGTGAAATGCCCTTGTTTTCCAGAAAGAAACTGAAATGGTTTGTAGTGAAATGTCCTGGTTTTCCAGCAAACAAACTGAAATGGTTTGTAGTGAAATGCCCTGATTTTCCAGCAACAAACTGAAATGGATTGTAGTGAAATAACCTGGTTTTCCAGCAACAAACTGAAATGGTTTGTAGTGAAATGTCCTGGTTTTCCAGCAACAAACTGAAATGGTTTATAGTGAAATGCCCTGATTTTCCAGCAACAAACTGAAATGGATTGTAGTGAAATGCCCTGGTTTTCCAGCAATAAACTGAAATGGTTTGTAGTGAAATAACCTGGTTTTCCAGCAACAAACTGAAATGGTTTGTAGTGAAATAAACTGGTTTTCCAGCAACAAACTGAAATGGTATGTAGTGAAATGCCCTGGTTTTCCAGCAACTAACTGAAATGGTTTGTAGTGAAATAAACTGGTTTTCCAGCAACAAACTGAAATGGTTTGTAGCGAAATGCCCTGGTTTTCCAGAAACAAACTGAAATGGTTTGTAGCGAAATGCCATGGTTTTCCAGAAACAAACTGAAATGGTTTCTAGCGAAATGCCATGGTTTTCCAGCAACAAACTGAAATGGTTTGTAGCGAAATGCCCTGGTTTTCCAGCAACAAACTGAAGTGGTTGCAGTTAAATAGTTATGTCAGAAGTTGGATTGTCATTTTGGGTTCAAGTTCTACTGTATTTGAGTGTACATTTTGCAAACGGTTATAATTAAGGTAACGATCTTGTACATGCAACGATAGTGTAGTACCGTTTTTGAGTTGGAGTCTAAAAAGGACATTTCAAATTCTGTTAAAAGATCTAAATCATTTTGCCAACACAATTAGTCAAAGGGAAATCTCTAAGAATGACAAGTGGTAAAGAGTAATATTACAATAATATCTAAGATGGTATTTACAATGTTTTAACATAGGATGAGTAGTTGAAACACAGAAAATATCGTTTGAATGCTGGGATTGAGATTACTAACACTCACTTAACACAATTTGCATCACCTTTTAACACTTTATCTCCCTTTGTCTTGGTCACTGGAATAGACAAGTGATTCCTTGAACTCTTGGGTGTGGTCTTTGCTGTAGTTGTAATGACTCCATACTCTTGATACTTTTGAATGATTCTTTACCTAATTTGGTTGGACTTCATCTTGAATTATCCCAATTCATTCCATAGACAAGAATCACATGCAGGTAAACACCAAACTGGTTGATCGAGTCTTGATCAAGTCTTGTGTCTTGAGTCCCAAACTAATATACAGACCAACAGAAATACTAATATTGAAATTGACAATGATGTTATAGAAAAAAAAACTGAAGGGAAAACAAAAACTGGAATGAAAATTCATAAGAAACAGCAGTTTAAACAAATTTCACTTTTGGCGTTTGAACACATCATCCTTTATAATAATACTTTCAACCACTTCATCATCGTTCTTTCAAGAGTCTTTCTCAATGTATGTACTAGAAGAGACCATGGCCAATTTCAACATTATCATTTCTAACTAACACACACATCATAACAATATATTTTGTGACCGGTTCACACACATTTTGATCCCTTGGCATTATCAACTGGAGAAGGAACACACAATGAATGTTAATAAATAAGTTTCTAATTGCCCTACACGTAAAGTCACTATCAGAAATTGGGTTCTGCCGATGCTGTGGTGGTTCTACGCGACATGGAGTTATCAGTTCCACTACGACGTATATGTTGTGGAGATTGTTTACCCACTTCCCCTGTTGCTTCACCCTCTTCCCCACCTTCACGACTTTTGCCATCTTTTGAGCGAAACTTTTTACGCCAAGATGGCGCTCGTCGAAACTTGCCTTCACCCTGTAATGAGAAGAAGTAAAACGTTTTGCAAAGCATGCAGAATGTTAAGCGAACAGCTGAAAACAATTAGGATCAAATTGAACAATGAAAGGGATACAACTGTTTAAATGTTTGTTCTACCAACTGATAGACATCAATATCTGTCATCTGTTGCTATGACAACAGGCTGAATCTGTTGGTTGCTTTCTTCCCAGCAGCTAGTACCAATATTTTGGTCATATTGCATGGTAGATAGCACCTGGATGCTTACACGGTTGTCTATTCTACTAGTTTGTTTTCATTTAATTGTAGACAAACTGGCAGTCATCAGCTTTTCATTCTGACAAGATCTACAGATAGATGAAATGAACTCTATCAGCTGACAAAATATTTACACAGTTATATCCCTTTAAATATAACAAAGAAAAGTGAGTTTAAGAGTGACTAAGAAATTTGAAATTTATCAACCATAAAAAATTTAACCTTGTTCTAATATTGAAATACTCTTTTCAACTCATTTTTCACATAGAATATAATAATACAAATACAGTTCTATCATAGTGAGTGGTTTCCTTGTAAGAGACTAACTTTTTAAAGAATTTGTAAAGCGGTTTTCAAAACTTTATTATGTGTATCAGATACACTGATAACATCAAATTGCACTAAACATCTGGATATTCTTGCAATTCCACTAAATTCCAAAACTTTTTTTTGACGTCACTTTTGCAAAAACTGTTAATAATATATAAGGTGATAATAGTGATGTCATAGAACACTTGGTACATAAGAAATTGCAAGAATCACCGACATCTGAGTGAAAATTGGAATGGTGCAAAAGTGTGCCCGATACATATACAAACATATTTTTAAAAGAATTTCTAAAAAATTCTGAACATCAGTGATACTTTTTTTTAACTTTCTATAAAAATTAATTTTTTAAGCTCATAGTAATCATACAATCTGCATAATTCAACAGATTTTGTTGATGTTGTGTTTTAAAATTAAGGTTATCATTACAAAGGAAACCACACTATAACAGACTGTTCTATTTGTATCTGTAACATCTTTAGCCTGCTGATTATTTTGCCATATTCGTACCTAACAATATCAAACCTAAATCTCTGAAATTTCAAGAAGGTTTTGAACACCTAGACACACATTTATCCATACCGTATTGTAGGCCTACATATTCTAACTTGTATTTGTATATATTCTTATAGTACTTTTCAGAATTTTGGTCCAACACATTCATTTACCTAAATCCTATTCATATCTGAATTCAGTTAGCATATTTTCCATTCATTATCTGAAATTTGGGTTTTACACATTGTACCAAATCATATCTGAATTCACAGTTAACATATTTTCATTTCATTATCATAAATTTGAGTTTTCCACATTAATGTATCTAATTCATATCTATCTGAATTCACAGTTAGCATATTTTCAATTCCTTATCTGAAATTTCGGTTTTACACATTGTACCAAATCATACCTGAATTCACAGTTAACTTATTTTCATTTCATTATCATAAATTTGAGTTTTACACATTGATGTATCTAATTCATATCTATCTGAATTCACAGTTAGCATATTTTCAATTCCTTATCTGAAATTTGGATTTTACATATTTATTTACCTATTCATATCTGAATTTACAGTTTGCATAATATATTCATTCAAGGTTAAACACATTCCTTCACATGTTCATTAATCATGGTTTTATCCATTCAATTACTTATTCATATCTGAATTCACAGTTTGCAAATATTCATTTTCTTACCTAAACTTTGGCTTTACAAGTTCATATCTGAATTTACAGTTTTACACAATTTTCAAAAATCTTTTTGAGAATAAGCAAGCTTTGTGTTAATTTCCTATACATTTCATATTCAGTGATTCTACCATGACAAGACATTGTGGAAATTAGCAACATGCCAAGTTTTACAACAATTGGTGAACTGTCCTACTTTTTTCTCCAATTTTATGTGACAATTTCAAAACAGAAGTCATAAAAAAAATAAAGTTTGTTAAAACAACATAAATATTTCAATATTAAAAGAAAAACAATGGCAAAATAATCCTCTAAGCTAAAGATTAATAAAATATAAACTAAGCACAGCAAACATTCACTTGTATCTTAAACCAAATTTTCAAAATGAAGTCTCATCAAAATTCTAACCTTTAACCAATGTTTTGTTATCTATTGTATGAAACCCCAACATCAATTTTTTCTTCTGAAAAATGACATGGTTAACTAAAATTCAGCTAAATTTGGTGATAATTATTTACAAGTGAATATTTGCAGAATCTAATTATTGAAAAGTCATAGATAACTCTAAAATTCTACCAAATAAAAGTTGAATTAATTATATTTTAAATAAAAACTATTACATATAGGGTAATAAAACAAATATGCTAATGAGGTTAAATAATGACAGGGGAAATTCCTTCATCTCTCAATACCACTTTTAAAAGTCTAATGTAACTTCATAATATTTTAAGGTAAAAAAAACATCAGGATTTGTTTTTTTTTTTCACTATGATGGAATTTCAAAAATTTTAACTGACCTTTTGGTCTGTGAGAACTTTTGCGAAGCAGTTTTTGATCAGGAAATCTGATTTTTTTTTATTGTAGTAAAGAGTTCTGAATATTATCATTGAAGGGTAATTCACCAATCTAATGAAACTTAGATTACAATTTTGTTTTGTTATTAATTTTGTTGGAACTCAATTGTAATCTTACGAGATTTAAACCAAAGTTGTGTACTGTCAACGTTCGTATCAACCAATCACAGCCCACTATGCAGAACCTGTGTTTAAATATCTACTATGAAGAGTAGATAGTCGCTTCTGATGACCAGAGAGTGGTGCTTGTTTGACTGCTATAAATAGCTTGTCATGTGACCACCAGTAAGCGACCTTGATGTAAAGCTTGTTAGAATACAATGGGAGACCAAAAATAAAAAAACAAAACAAAATTGTAATCCAATTTCTAATTGATCATGCACAATTTAGTTTTCAATTTCTGTTTCTGATATTTGTATTGAGAGAATGGGGAAATAAAATATAAAATGGAGAAAGCATTAACGGAAGTCAGTAACAGTATATAAACCAACCAATATGGCGGATCCCAACCACAAAATCAAGTTCGATTTCTAAATTTGACAACAATCATGCTTTTGACCATCATGCTTGAAATAAAATAATATATATCTTTTTATATTTGAAAGCGATGCAGAATTGTTCAAAAAAAAAAAATTTTTAAGCAAAACCCAATTCTTATCCCAAAATGATAAAATAAGCTTTATCAAATGCCATAATGTGAAAGCATAATATTCGACGAAGAATTTACGACAATCAATAATAACCTTGACAAATTAAGACAGGAAGTGAAGAAGTAAAGTTTAAAACAGCACCTGATTGGCTAATATAAAACTGTACCAGACGGCAATAGGATATGAATCTGAAGTAAGGATATATAGTGTGATAGGTGATTCTATGTATTGGCAGCAGGCTAAAGATAAAAATTGGATAACTGACCTACCTCGTCCAATCGGCGGTCCGTGCCGATGGCCAACAAGTTGTTAAACTCTCGCTCTAATATTTGTCTAGCCTGAAAAAAAATATCACAGTGGTCATTTTCTTACCTTAAGGACACTTTCTCAAAAACTGTCAAAGACAAAAATTTGTTGAAATTTTAAAGTTAAATACCACTTTAACCAAAATGTTTTTGTGCCTTCTTTTTTGTGGGATAATACTTCATATACTTTGTGGGATGTGCCACTTCACATGCGCTTTTGAAAAAAAACAATCTCCAATCATTAGCATGTCTTTGATATTTTGCTATTTTTCTCCTAATCTGACACTTATGTCTTTGCAAAGTCAGGATC